ATCAACACGACGGTAGAACGTTACAAAGCAACATCCTTTAAAATATCACTAGTATTAAATCCAAATATCAATTTTTTAAATTCAATATAACGTTCAAATTAGTTGTAAAATAACCGACCTCGACTCACTTGTGTGGTTTTATCACGTAAAACGTTCAACTGATAAACTGATCCGAACTGTTCGAACAGCTCACGACATTCTTTTTCACCCCACGATCGTGGTACCTATTAATTACATTTAACCGGTGATCTTATTGCTAACCAGTATGACATCCTATCAATAGTAACTTCCTTTCTTCAATTGTATTAATAATTCTATACAGTGAAATAGGTGAATAATCGGGATGAATATGACTAATAACAGAACAGAACCATTTCTATTCTCGTAATCAGCAGGTCTCATATCAAACAGTGATATTTATTTCTTGATAATGAACAGCAACAATAATAGTGGTAATACTACACGAATAAATGATCCATTAATGATGAAAACTACTCACCTGTCCCACAAACATTTTGATCGTGTCTGGGTCTGGCTCTCTAGTTGTGGATGCATTTGTTTGGGCTGGCGGATCTGCGCTCATTTTTGGACTATCAGAGTCCGGTTTCATTTAAACCGGATTTACGAAAATACGAATATATCTATAACAGTTTTACTATTAAAGGATTTCGTAAAGAATGAGTTGATATTCAGTCGAACCGATTACGCTGGAATTTACACGCGTTCAACAGAGCAGATCGTTGACAATACGATGTTCAACGAACAAATTCATCAACAACTCAAATATCATGTGCATGCGTTTCGTTGAAGATCAATTATGCATGTCTCCTTCAATCACACACAACAACAAAAAAGAAAGCGCATCAACCGTGACTGCATCAACATAACACCACAGCGTTATGAACAAATTCTTAAAGTTTATCACGGTAAATGTAAAAAACTAAATTTGGACAAGTCTGGTACTAAATCTATGCAAAAAAGAGTTGCCTTGACCCTAGCTTTAAGCTTCTGCTTAATTTCAGTCTTTACAATAGATCTCATTAAGCGATCAAACAAGCAGACAACACACAGACACACAAATTGTGGCGAAAAGAGCGAATTCTTTTCGATTCTCCAGAGCGACCAGCAAAAGGCGGAGCCATGCACGAAGGCAATGGATCGCTCATACTGATGATGAACAGTACGATCAACATTATACCACCAACGTTATTTCCATCAGCGATTCTTCTGATATAAATCATCGTGAAACTGTGTTTAATATTGCAAATTTATTATTGTTACGTGTCTGATGATAAATTTGCAACAGTGCACAAATTTATTGTTACAATTGTCTTATCGTCTATTACGGTGGTCCCCTCGGGTGCTTCTTTACCCCTTTGATGGTCTGGTAGGCCATCATTATCCTCTCTCAGGCTATGATAATTTACTGCCTCCTCGGATAACGTCAGAACTAATCTCCTGATCCCGTCCATTACCCCTGACACCCCAAAATTACCCAAAATGAGTAATTTACCCGTATGGGGACCCATGGTCTATTAATATTTCATTTATAGTGAAATGCTTGCACTAAGCGTCAACTGTGTATGTTAACTCAAAGTCCAGATGTGCCGAGTAGCTCCTGAACTCGCTCCTTATCTAACGGTCAGGTAGGGCGAAACAATCAGGAGGACATAAACCAAAACGAGTAGGGAATGGCCCCTGCACAACAAATTCACTCCCCCAACGAACATTATTCATAACTGTTAACCGTTTGGGCAACATCGCTTGAAAATGCAAAATTGTAAAGTAATGAAACGAAACGATGAGAATTATCGCATATGCATACCGCATTCAGTGATAAGCACCTAATATCTATTGAATGTAACGAAAACAATTCGTCTAGTAGAGAGCCACATAATAATCTACAAAGCCGTGCGCAGTAAACTAGCCTCAGCCAAAACAGAGCACCACAGGGTGCTAGCTAACTTAGCCCGAAGATACGAGGAGATAGTTGATTCGATGGAACACAGCCCAACTCAATGTGGAGGGTGGACGGCTTTGACGGCCCAAGCCGTGTGGCTACTATCTGTCAGTTAAATTTACATTGACAAAATGTGATTGATGAGGCTAAACCACAACAATAATGACTGCGCAATTGATTTCAGTTCGTCACTGATATAAGAAACAGAAATTAAACTTTTTGATGTGAAGTAAACAGAAATTAAACTTTTTGATGTGAAGTAAACAGAAATTAAACTTTTTAAAAACGTTTTCGATGTGGACATCATGAAAATGACGACGAATTCATTTCAACAAATTGATTTATTTGAATGTGAAGATGAATATAACGGAATAAATGATGGACGGCAATCGATCGAAGGTTGACTGACTAGTGCGCAGAACGAAATCGAATTAAATTCATAAGAGGTTCGACAAATTAAGTGTGTACACACAACACATAACAAAACAA